GCTGATCCTCCACACCTTTCCAAAAATGATGCCCCTTTCCAAGGATCGGCCCCTTCTAACAACATGCCCAAAGTATGTGAAATGAGGTTTCACCATCCTTGCCTCCAAGGAGCATTCTGACTGCACTGTCTCCAACACTTATTTGTTTGTTCTTTTGGCAGTCCGTGAGATGTTCAGTACTCTTCTCCAACACCAATGTTCCCTCCCTCCACTCAACAGTACAGTCTTCTGCCTCAACTTCCACCAATGTTTTACACACTGTAGTTGCTAAAGGAGTGATGAACTATCACAAATACAACGAAAAGAACATTTGTGCTCTGCTATGCTTTCCTTTCTTTCGATGTTCTTTTATCATCATTCATTTTTAGTAACAACAATGTGTCAGATTCCTTGTTGGACTCTGTAATGAGTCCTGATGGTAGTCATGGGTCATATGCTCAACTGTTAATGAAAAGGCTGGAAGTTCGAGTCTACCCAAAGACCCTTGGAAGAGAGGTTTGTTGATATACTCCTGAAAAGTCAGCCACTAAAAACTCCAGAGTTCTACTCTGACACATCTGGGGCCACCATCAATAGGGTCACCACCTGACAACAATAATTTTGTTTTGTTTTGTTTTAGATTTTTTTTGGTTTTTTTTTTTGGTTTTTTTTTATTTTGTGTGCGTGTACCGTCAAATCAGATCTGACTGGTACAGGAGGATATTGCGCCTCCTTCTCCGGCAGAGCATCTGGTGGATTCGAACCGTGTTCCTCTGGGATTGCAGTGCTACCTTAACTATTGCTTGTTGCTATGTGCCACACAGTGGGAACCAACCTATAGCTGACCCTCCAGTGGGTTTTTAGAGGCAGTAAATCTCAGGGAAGAAGAATGTCCATCATCTTCCCATGGTGCAGCTGGAGGATTTGAACATCATGACTTTAGGTTGGCAGCACAACTCCTTATTACTAGGCAGCAGAGCTCCCTACTTTCTTAATACTATTATTAATACAGATGCTCAGTACTTAGTACGTATCAGATATCAGCAAACATCTAGAGAGAATATATTATTTAAATCCTAAAAATTAACCTCTGAGATAAGTAAAATTATTATCTCTCAGATTGAAAACTAGGAGTTCAGGGAGGTCAGTGATGAAGCATTTGCCTACTAACAAAGAGGTCCATGTTCCAACCCACCAGCTCTCCACAGTTAAAAGATGTCTCTATAAAGATTTACAGCCCTGAGGGAGCTCTGGTGGCCTAGTGGCAAGAAGCTGCACTGCAATCCCAGAGGCACACAGTTCAAATCCAACTCTGTGGGAGAAAGAGGGGTAATCTCCTCCTGTACCAGTCAGATCTGACTTGACGGTACATACAAAAAATAATAAAAGAAAATTTAAAAAATTTACAGCCCCGGCAATCCTATGAAGCAATTCTACTTGGTCCAGCAGAATCAACCCCGTAGCAGTGAGTTTTCTTTCAAAATCAGGGTATCTGAAGCACAGTGGAAAACAGAATCACTTCCCAACCTTCAAGTATCTCTTAGTCCAGCAAACACTAGACAGAGTGCTACAAAGGAACTGGATAGGGAAAGAGGGGTGTGGTGCTACAATGGAACAGGATAGAGAATGAGGGGTGTGCCTAACAACGGAGACTTAAATCTTCAGGCCAAGGGCCAGGGATGCTTCCCAAGTGGAAGCTAGAATCTTAAAGATGTAACAAGAAGGACTCAGTATAAGAAGGTGCAAGAAAGTGATATATTCAGGGACTAGGCTACCTCAGGGCACTCACTGTCCCCACAAAAGGCCAGACACTGCTAAGAGGAAAGAGGATGTCCCAGAGACAGCACCCTCCATGCAAGGGCACAGTGCACAAAGACAGAAACTTGCCTCCACCTGACTCAGGGCTGGAACTTGCACTCGCCCTTACCATTTGAAGAGAAGTTGCCAGAATGCACTTTGAGTCAAAACCCTAATGGAATCTTGCTTTAAAAAATTGTCCAAGGGGCTGTATTATTTTATTTTAGGTATGAGCAAAATATAATGCTGATTGTCATGACGGATTCCAATTCACCAAAAAATGCAGAAACTTTCCTCAGAAACAGCCTCATGCTACCAAAGCAAAGAGGTTTTTTGTCTCTGAGAATGACAATAACTATAATCAATCCAATACTGGCAAATCCTCCCTTTCTACAGAACACAAGGGATTTTGTTAAGTCTGTAACCACCTAAGATGGAACTCTCTAGTGTTTTTCTCCCCTTCTTCTTCTCCTTTTCTTTAGCCTTAAACAAAACAATATCCTCCCCAGGCCCTTTCTTTTTCATCTAAATTCTCTATGTCTCCTTTGCCTGTACTAAAAATACACAGCTTTTGTGACATAAATGCAAAGTTTTATTGTGCTGTTAGCCTTGATAGAAAGCACTGCAGAAAGTTGTTTAGAAATTAAATATCTAAAACAAGCTATTTTAAAATCCAGGGCCCTCACTATTTCATGTCTGCAATGAAGAAATTTCATCTTGGGGAGAGCAAGCTGTCTTTCACACCATATGGCAAATGGTGGTGCATAGCAATTAGCCAGGCTGATTAATGGTGAACAGACTCTAATTTTATGCTTATAATTGAGCCTGCATTTGCACCCCTGGTGCAAATTCAGCACATCCTAACTTCCACTTACAACAGGCAAGAAATCAAGAGAAATAGGATGGTGTGGAAAGTGAGAATTCTTTTTTTTTCTCCTAAAGCCCCCTAAAGAGCATCAGATTTGCAATTTAAAAGACTGTTAGCCACACAATAGATGACAGGTTTGTGTAATAGGGTCATGGCAGCCTAGTAAACAAACAGTACCCCTTCCACATCTACAAGCAGCCAAGAAAACTGTAATCTGTAACATTAGCAGGATGACATTTTGAATATGGGCTTTTCCCTCGTAGGCACGCAGTACAAACATCATCATTTGCCTTCAGTGGCTTGAGAATTTTATTTTTGCTATTTTTATGCTTCTGAAAAACAGAAAGAACATCAGCAGTAAAGAAAAGCCAAGGAGCATAATAAAGTACTTCGGACCAATGAATTTTAAAGACAAGAAAAATATATGCTGCATTAATAGAGGGTAGGCCTGTGTATGAAAGGCATAATATATCTTTAAGTATTTCAATAATAGAATTATTTCTAGCACCATCGAAACATGTACACATATGAGATGCAAATCTGTGATCTATAGATTTTAGTTGGCCAATTGGTTGAAATCCATTTTCCTGTCTGTCTCCTATTTTGCTAGCCTCGCATGCAGCAGAACATGGAAAAATTCATCCTAATGACATGCTAATTGTGGGAAGCCAAAACAGGGATATGGTCAGAAAAACAGTCATGCAAAGGAGGTCGTTTGTTAATGATTTTCAAGATGGATTTCACTAATAGAATTTTGAAAGGTGCAGCTCAGATTTAATTGTACAAATCATTCTCTCCAGTATAATACCACTTTTTGACTAATAATGCAAGAAATCCATCACTACATTTTTGGTTCTGCCTTACAGAAGGAGGAAAACAACTTATTTGGGGAATGACTGACAAGTTTACAAATCACTTAAGTGAAAATCTGCAAAACTGTGCATTTTAGAATTATATAGTAGATTTTAAAAAAGAAAAATAAATCCATTTATACATACATGTGTATCTTTATAAGTATAGAAAGTGGGATCTGAGATTTTTCCAGAATAATACATGAAGCCCTTTCTATTTTATTTCCACCTGTAGAGTTTTAGCTTCACCATCCCCACAGGCCCAGCAGCAGGAAAGAACCCACGCAGGGTAAGGGGCAGCTGATGCTCTAAGGGGCCTGACTGGTCAATCATGGTCAGAAGCCAAGTGGACATGGTGCCAAGAAGAGCCTGAATGACTAACACAGCAATTAGTATCATTTCTCTGATGCATCGTGGCATCTTCCTACTTTTTCCAATTACTCAGAATATATTGGGAGCAAGGTGCTGCTATTATTTCATGAAGAGTAAGGGTTCTAAACTGCACGTTAGAAGGATGTTCTCTGGTATGAGTACTCTCATACACACAGGTCACGAAAGTTAATTTGGTCAGCCTGCCTGATTTCAAATGTAGCTTCAATTTGATTACTGTCAAAAATAAAGACACTCATTTGTAGATGACATCAACTTTTCTACCTTCCAGGGACTCATCTTTTGTCATACTTCTAAAAGTTCACAGTCTCTGAGAAATAAAAGGCAACTAAAAAGTGTGCAAGGAAAAATATGCAGAGTCTCTCTCTCTCTCTCTCTCTCTCTCACACACACACACACACACACACACACACACACACACACCTCCACCCCCTAGGGAGAAGGGCTGGGAATAATGTTTGAATACAGATAGCCATAGTTTTAAGTAGGACGATTAAAAAGGGACCTATGATTTCAAAAGTACCCTAGTTGTGCAGTGGTTAAGTACTTGTCCCTTAACTGTAAGGATGGAACTCCAAACCCGCCGGCCATTCCACAGGAGAACGATGAGGTAGTCTGTTCCCATAAAGGTCAGTCTTGGAAACTCAAGGACAATTCTGCTCTGTCCTGAGGGTGACTGTGAGTTGGAATCTACTCAATGGCAAATTGTTTCTAACTTTCAAATCTTATCCAAGTGTAGGCCGTTACTGACAGCAATAGAACTCTTAATAATTTTACTGGCAATGCAATTGGGCATAAATATTAACACTAAAAGGGTTATACTGTATTTTATTCCATTGGAAAGGAGACGGGGTGGACACCACTTTGTGCCCATTAACAGTATGATATCAAAATGGAAATGTATGTTTTTCAGGTTGAAATCTAATAAATAATTGAGAAGCACTGTGATGCTTGACACTTTACTACTGAGTACTCACATCTAACAGTTCCTTTTAGATTGCCCAACAGAAGCAAGATAAATGTATACTCCAAAATAGACCCAAGTTCACCTAGATGTGAGGTTCAAGTTTATCTTCTCTTTGCTAATTAAAGGGAGAAGCTGTGGTCTTTCTTACCTGCACATGATCTCATGGGTGAGCAATACTCGGCACATTTCTGGGTTCTTGTCTTGGCCTTCATACACTATGGCCTGTAAACAAAAGCACAATTAATTTTAGTTAAGAATGGAGCCACGAAGCAGCAAGCAAACTACTGCAATTGAGTTCCTGAGCACTTTACCACTGTCACTGGCCAATTAGCTTTCAGAAGCCCAAGGCCTCACTGGGCTGATTGTTTGAAGATTCCTTGTTAAGAATCAACCCAAATTGAGTGGAACGGGATATGTTCCTCTCTGCCCTGTCAACCATCATATTATGATGCACATCTTTGGATCAGTGTGTGGGATGGGCTCCTGTCGTCAAGACAACCACAATTCTCCTTTCGATATAGAATAAAAATAAATCTAATAAATGAGGAGGAAAAACCCAGAAGGCTTAGCAGATTGAGACACTATTTATTTAAAATACAGGAAAGCACATGGATTTGATTTAAATGTTAATATATGTAAGCACAAGTGTGTGCATGTACATATGTATGTATTTTTCTCACTTTACTACTTCCAACCCCAATATTTAGCGTTTTCATGGTGAGTACCAGAAAACAAGTAGGGATGAAGCAAATAAGTTCATTCAATAACTGAGTCTCCTGTAAGATGAATCATCAACTAGGAAAAATCCTTCTTCCCACCAACATGTGCACTTCCAGGGTATACACCCACCCAAACAGTAACACTCATAGACATATGCTGGGTGTGAAAGAGGCCTTAAACCACAGAATTCTCTCCCTAAACTAAAAAGAATTACATCTAACTCTCAAAATCAGGAGTCCCAAACCACCTCTCCAGACAAGATGCTTCTGTCAATTTTTTTTAATATGTATACAAACAGTTTGCTTATGATCTCCAGGAAGTGTATCTGAGACCTCAGCTTACTGGAAGATTTAAACTTTAATAACTGGGCCCAGGAAAAACACACAGCTTTTGGCAGAGCAGTGGGGATAGATTTTAGCTAATTTAACACTGTATCACTGCATAATATGAATATAGCATAGCTTTACATTGTTAATAAAATTACTTTCACACATTTAGATAACCTTCAATTTCTTGGTGTAAAAAACCCCACCCAACTGAAATAAACCAGAAATCATCTTGTTTAGTGCACAGACATGCTGCAGTGCCCACCCTATGGTTGACATCCATTTATTTTGCTTGTGAATCTGGACTTTCAGGACCTGGAAGTGAGGGGTGCAGCCTAACACACCATGTGTGTGAGTCCTCAAGCAGGCTCTGGTTACAGAACACATCACAAAACCAAAAACGGTGATAAATTTTAAAAATGAGCAGAAGTACAGAATGGGAGAAAACATGTCTCAATCACTATCAAAACTATATGGTTAAACTATTATAACTTTGTGTTTTCTTAAAAAAAATTATATAATTTTATACTTAAAACTTTCAAGACTATGTGAAGAATTCCAGGAAACCCATTATGCCCAGATTCCCCTAATGTTTATATTTGACTACATTTTGCCTTATTCTTTATCTTTTTTTTAGATTTTATTTTAATAATTTTAATGAACATTTACAGAGACTTTGGATTTCCATTCATTCAATGTTGCACTTTTCTCCCTGCTCAGCCCGTCCCCCCCCTTGCTTTATTCTTTTTTCTCCCCTGAATCCCTGGCTAGTCAGTTGCAGAAGTGCCCTAAATACTTACAGCATGTGCTTCTTTAAAACAAGGCATTCTCTTATACAGCTACCATACAGTTATCAAAATCAGAAAATCAGCACTGATACAATAATCTAGTGACTTTACTGAAATTTGACCAATTACCCAATGATGTTCCTAACAACACAAGAGAAGCCCATCCCAATCATTGCATTCAGTGATCATGTCTCCTGTAATAAGGAATAGTTCCTGAGTCTTTCTATTTCAATTGCATTTACATTTGTTAAGAATACAAGCCAGTTATTCCATAAAATTTCCCTCAATTTGGGCTAGTAAGACATTTCATCATGCTTAAAGGTATGTACTTGGTGATGGGAACACCACAACGGTGATCCTAAATTCCTTTCAGTTGTCAAATCATACTGTCAACCAGTTCCACCACTATCAATGTCAAGTCTGATAATTTGGTTAAAGTGGGGCTGTCACCCACCATGAGGCTGAAGAAATCACTGTGCAGTGAGCACTCCACCTATGTAATTCGTAACTCTCTTCTGGAGAGATAATCTAGCTGAAGCTAATAGAATATCACTCTCCAAATTTTGTCCATTCTCTTTAAGCAAGTATTCATGATTCTCTCCGATGTTCTAAAGAGATCTTTTCAAATATCTCAGACATTGCTTCATTCAAGAAAAAGCATTAAGTAAATTAAAACGGTTTTTGAAAACCCAAAATAATATCTGCCCGCTTTGTTTACTGCAATGGCTGCTGCTAAATTAAATAAACACAAAAATAACTGATTACATCTAGTGCCAACCCTAATGACCCATTTCTGATAAACTATTCTCATTACATTTTTGTGTGTTTCCTTAATACCTATGATAACCTCTGCCTCAAATTTAGTTTTTTGTCATGCACATTAACACAAGAAACATGAGAAATAAATTCATGGTTATTGGCGGGATTTTCTCTACTACTGAAAAAATAAAAATGTATGGATTTCTTCCACCATGGGGAAGATGTGTCCATTTCATCAGAATGTCTCACTGTGATTCTCCTTGGATGATATCAATCTTACTTTTTCTGGGGGTCATTAGTTCCCTTGAAATCAAGGGGTCTAGGATTATAATCAGTTAAAGTTATGTAGCAGTGTGAACACATTCATGACTCTCCCAAAGCAGTACGTGATCCATGAACTCCCAGAAATCCTATCTGGAGGACTCTCTCTGACATCAAGCATCGCTTGTTAAAGGCCCAGAGTCTCCATAATGCATCTCTTTACCAAATACCAAACTGCCACTTCACTTCTGGCAGCAGGGTCAAAACAGAGTTCTCTAAGTCAAGCAAAGAAAAATGAAACCATGAGTTTGGATTTGCTCAGAAAGCATTGGGAATTCGGGGGGGGGGGGGGGGAGGGGCAGAGGCATGAAGGCTCTGCTACCTCTCCTTGGGGCCTCCATCGGAATACATTTCAGCACATAAAGTCAGAGAGAGAAGTGCTGCTTCTGTGACTTCTCCTGAAATATAAGCAAGTCGAACAGGAGTCTTTTCACTTGGCCATGCAGTAGGACTCTGAATCCTGTAAACACAGTAAACTAGAACCTCAGTTAATGGGGTTAACTTGGGAGTGGAATTCGTTTAAAGGTAGAGCCACCTCCAATCCCATCTAAGCAGTTTTTGTTCCTGAAGAGATTTGTTTTTAAAATTAAATAAAATAGGATACTAACATATGGATGATATATATGAGTCCCCAAATTAATAATTCTGATGAGATTCCAATGCAGGAAGATGTGATCATTTGATAAATTTAATTTGACAAATGTCTCCAATACAAACAGTGAGCAACGAGACTTTATGAATATATGACCAAGTTCCCCCTCTAGCTTGCACACCAGTGGGGGCCACACATCATATCTCCGTGAACTGCACTGAACACAAACATCAAGAGTGATTCACAGCTCAGCACACCTCAAACTTAAAGGGTGAGGAACCCTCAAACAACTTAAGAAGTTTCTGCTTTTCTTCCTAATTTAAAAATGTGCCTCTGTGAAGACTGAGCAAAGCTGAAGATCACAGAAGCATATAAACAGCCCTGACTATTTTAAGTGAAACCATTTTAAAAGACAGTTGGTTCGGGTCCAAGACAATGGCACACCAAGAAGAAGGCTTATTTTCATCATCCCTAGTAAATCATGCACCAGCCCACTGTGAGGAAGGTAGTCTCTGTGAGAGTGACAAAGACAACAGTGGCTTAAATAAATCAATGTGTTTATCAGGAGTGAGGATGGGAGGCCTTCTACAGAGGTGGGCGGGAGGAGGAGACATGCCTTATAAAATATGTTATTTAAATAAATCACTTGATGGTAATTCAAGTTGAGGTTGGTAACCAAAGAAACAAAAAAGACAATATCGAGTAGAAAATGCTACTAAAATTAAGGCTACCAGTGGCAGATAAATCCCGCAAGGCAGCAGAAATGCTTGCACCGGAGAAAAGTAAACGGCTCTAACTTCATCTCAACTTTCAAAACCTGGTTAAATGGATAAACAAGTTGTCAAAAATGGACAGAGTTGGAACCGACTGTCTGTTTTCTGATACACTAACCATTCTACCTCTCTGTTCTCAGTGACTTTCTCTAATAAGCAGATAGAAAACAGCACGATTATTTCTTAATACTTTATTAACTTTCAGGTTGAGAAGTTTATGTTTCCTAGAATAAATTTTTATAAAGTTAAATAAAATAAGAACTGCTAAACTTTCAAGGCTTTACATAACAAGAATGCTGTAACTATTAAAGGATGCTATGCCAGCAATTTCAAATGCTCACTTATAAATTAACCCATCACATCTTTGGAAAGGAACAAGTCAGTCGATAAACTGGTTGCCACTGTTTTAGAGAGCATCTTGTGAAGTCTAGTTCTATTCTTTCAACAATATCACTGGGTATTAAAAGTTCATTGAAACTCACAATGGATAAAGACCACACAGTGAAATAGAAAATACATGGTGAACACACATCAAGATCACACTTCAATAGGATGCCAAAGGAAATACAGAGAATTGAGCTTTGTTTACTTTTTCTAATAGTTTTAACTCTTTGTGCCCCATTCTAAAATAAAGGAGATGAAGAGAACACATTTAACTTTGGTTCAACCAAATGTAAAGGTGTTTCTAGGAACAAAATGTTTTCATTAGAAGGCTTTCATGCTTTACAATCAAACAATGGCGGACTTGCCATCGAGTACCAAAAAAGAAAAAGAAATAAAGAAAAGAAACAAATCAAACTTGTAATGACAAAAACAAACAAAAAAATACACCTCTTCTAATATTTCTAATACTCCTTTTCCACATACAAAATGAAAAAAGTAAAATTTGTCACTTAAAGAGGAATTAGATCATAGGTATTCAACATAGCTCTTTCAGTCAGAA